GATGGGTCTGCAACTTCAATTTCTGAAGTGTCTGACAATTTTTTTTGTTTTTATTTTTCATCATAAATATGATGATAGTTTTGTACAACATCATGCATATCATACTGTACCTTATCAAACCTTTCAAAATTTGGGTCTTGGTTTCTGAAAAAAAATCAGGACAAATTTCACTATTTAATAACACATTTGTTTGTATCTCTACTTGTTTGTAAAGTACGGAGTGTCTACATTTTTGTTTTGGAAGGGGGCCAGATAATCAGAAGACAAACAATTCTCTTACATGATATATTCTTTAAAAACATAACAAACAAAAATAAATTTATAATGTAAGAAATAATATTTGACATCTCATACAGATATCTTATTAATTACATCAAGTTTATTTAATTATGGCAAAGCACTCAAAAGCTACCTGCCAAAGGGAAGGGATGCCTTCATGGAGGATATTCTAAGAGAAACTGGTTAGTATTCATGTTACGCATGGGTACTATTAACTAAATTAAAGATCATTTTTAGAGGTCCTATTTCTGCTGACTAGTCACTATATATACTGGTTTCCAAAAACTAAGGAAATATCACAAAAATAGCAATAACTCATTCAAAAATAAGACTATCTGTATAAAATTTGAATATGTTGTCAAATAAGAGTTGAAAAATACAACTGCAGTATGCAAATTAGTGACGCTGCAACCAGAATACTTCATCCTGTGATACTGAAATAAGAAATCTGGGATAGCAAATTTGTAACAAAGACCTCCAGGCATCAACTGCCCAAACAACTGCGATGAAGAGCTACTGGGAGACTAGAGGCAGGACAAAGTCAGATAGCAGAGGCCAGATGGCCAAATGTGAGTCATTCTGTAGTTCAGAGATTTTGGCAACAATTTCTAACCGTAGATTTTGTTATGTATTAATAGATATATATTTTTTTAGCTTAAGTTGTTTTGCTTATTTCAGTTTTGATTTGTAATTAAAGTTCTAATATTTTTTTTTTTTTTTTTTTCCTGTTTAAAGTTGGTTGTAAGTTTAAATTGTAACATATGTAAACTTAGTTTTTGGTTAGGTTGTTTTAAAAGTTCTGAGTTGAAGTTGTTTAATTTTAATTTGAGTTTAGGGACTTAAGATTTTTGTTTTTGTTCTAGTTGTTTTGACCCTTAAGGTTGTTTAACTTTTAGCTTTAATTTTTATTTTAAAACTTTGCTGTTGCACTTTTGTGTGTTAATTTTTTTTCCCCTTAACTTTGAGTAATTTAATTGGTATCCCTCTTTCTTTTAACGTTAAACGAATACATACTTTCTGACTGGCAGTAGAAGAAAAATAATTTGATTCTATTTGTATTTCTTTTGGATAAATTGTGTTTAGTCTCATTTGGTGGCTGAGGAAACAATTATTACAGTGCTGACATTTTTATTATGAATTATAATGTTGTGTAATTAGTAGCTTAATTTTTTTTTAATTTCCCAAAGTCATTTTGTATTATCTTAGTTCAGAGATTTTCGCCCCTTGCCCTCTTTCCTTCAGCGGAAATTCTTATCAGCAATTGTACTGCACCCCAAAATTCCTTTCTGCTAAGCGTTCCACCATGTGTGTGGGGCGAAGTACTTGATAGTTTTACCATGTGGTTTTTACGAAAAGAGGACCCTGTTTTGCTGGACAAGGCTAGCAGGATGATGTTCTACAGCATACTTATGGTGGGGGAAAATATACATTGAGACAGATCTGCATTATCGACTGGGACCCTGGAGCGAGGCTAGTTTCTTCCCCCCTGTTTCCGCCTGTAGTTGTGATGACACATTGGTGTAGCCTTGGAAGTTGAACGATGGAATGGCGAGAAGTGGCTCATTTTGGTAGTCGGGAAACCCCTTCCCGTGAAGATCCAGAGTGTGGGTTGCCCTTTTTTTGGCATCCTGTTAGTCACCATCTACGCCAAGTTTTCAAAAAACGCGCCAGCTACTAAAACGGTGTTTTTTCGGGGAGACGGGGACAGAGAGATGGAGACGACAGAAGAGAGACGGAGAAATGAAATTTCACTAGAACTTATAAGATGTCAACTTAGGCGAGCAGCTCGGAGGTGAGCCTCATCTTAGACGTAGCAACGTAAATTAACCAACACCGAAGAGAAGCTGCAACACCTATATTTCTAAAATCCTAAAATTTACACTGTCATGATGGCCTGTGGAGGGAAGACCTGTGTCCTGCTGGTTGGAAGCAGTAATAGGAGGGAAGCCTGGCCTCCGAAACAATAGCTTAGTTGAGTCTCGTCAACCTAACCCTTTTTTTTTGTTTTCTAATTTCAGATACTATCCCAAGTTTTCCTTGAGAGAAATAATGTTCGCTATCAAGTACTCTAACAAAACTAAAATGTATGATGGATACCCAAATCCGGATTTGTGTAGCATGAATATTGAAATATGTTAAATGAAAGTCATCCTTTTCTGTTGTTTTCAAATTAGTTCTTTAATTGATCCAGCCCCCACGTTTAATTGTAATGTTTAGTGAGGTCATGACTCTCTTTTTCTGTTTTGTAATCATAATATTTTCCTACCTTAAATAAACGTAAGTTGATTTTATTCTACTGTTTGTATTTATTGTAATTATCTTTTACACTGGACCTTAAATATAGAACGGGTTAACAATATTTTCACAACGCGATTATTGAATTATTTTTGTATTTTGTCTTTATGTTTCACTATGACTGCTCACACACTTAGTATGTTATTGTTACAATATTGATTGATATGTTCAGTTAAGTGACTTATACACACAGTTACCTACCGCATCACCCAGAATGAACTTTTGCTCTAGTTGTTTCACAGATATGGTGTTCATTTGTATTTATTAAGTATGAATTTATGTTGTTTTATATAACAATTTGGCATCCAGGAGGTCATTTGGCATCAAAGGATGGCTAACTGCTACGATGAGCACCAATGACTGATATTTGTTGTTGAGCACACGAAGGAACAGAACTGCAACTCTGACTCAACCCACATCCTCCCTTGCTACAGCCACTGGAAGGTTGGTGTACCATGCATGACCTTTGTGAAGCAACCAGGTTTCACAAAGTACTCGAGGCGACCAACCATTTGTGCGCTGCTCACGTCACATCATACAAGGGAACGTTTGAGGATGGGTATGTAAACATATTCTCTGGATTGCTGATCAATAGAATCTCTTTACGGATGAGTCCAGGTTTAGCCTCTAAAACAACAGCAGACATTATTTGATTTGGAGAGAACCTGGAAACTGCTACCATCCATTAAACATCCATGAAAGAGATGCTTAGGGAGGAGGCAGTGTCTGTATTTGGGGTGGTATCTATTTGGGTTGATGGACACTGTGTCTCTTTATGTTGAACCATAAATGCTCAGGCCTCCAGAGATGACATTCTTGATGCTTATGTGTGCCCTTATGACAGGGCAATAGGTGATGATTTCCCGCTACAGAACGTCAACACTAGATTGCACAGGCTTGCACTGGGGATGATTATCTTCAGCAGCAAACAATTCAGCGCATGGAATGGCCAGCTCTACAACCGGAACTGAATCCTATAGAACACATTTGGAATGCTTTAGCAAGATGTATAGCTGCTCTCAATCCTCCTCTTCAGACTCTTGCCATGCTTGTAACTGCTTTGCAAGAGCAATGGCTCTCACTTCATACAGAAGTGACAAACTGCATAATTGACAGCATTCATATCGCTGCCTGCACTGTATTGCTTCTAGGAGAGATCATTCTCCATGTTGAAGGTAATTTTCCTATACAAAACTGACACATCCAATTTGCTCATTATATATATATGCTAATTTCTTTAACACCATAATTGTTTGGTAATTTCACTTCATGTTATTTTATACTTTATTATGTGTTGCATACTGTGGGTCAGTTTCATTAAATTCTAGATGTAACTTTTTGAGCAATCATAATTTTTTTATTTTTCCTTAATTAATGATAACCAGTGGTTGCATAATAGCACTGACTGCTCCAAATTCCATCCCTGACAACTAAACAGCTGGCTGCATGAGGGTTTCTTGTTTTTCTCACACATTACATAAGGTTCAACTAACTGCTCTGAGAAAATCCTGTATGAAGGCACATCTCCTAACAAATAGTAGCTGTAACATGTTTGGCCATAATTAAATAATCCAATTACATTTTTTTCTGTTTACTTTCATAAGTTCACTTATAAACAACTATAATTCAATATATTTTATTCCTGTATACCATAATCTACTTTTTTATCATGTATAGTTTACTCTTATTTTTTCAATCATCATAATAATTTAAATAAAAATGCTTCATTTAAAACAAAAAAAATTTAATTCATTAATCCTAAAAGTTTTTGAAAAATTTTGAGATAATAATCATGTTATAGTTTCAAAATAAAACTACTTCAGCTATCAAATAGATCTGCAAAAATCTTTAATGAACTACATAATTTGCGTATAGGTTTATAAAATTATCAGACAAATTATAAATGACATAAATTTGATGTATTATTTAAAATAAAACAAATTATTAAAAACATACACTGTTTTTAAACTGCCCAGTCTGTCTCATTATATGTAGCTGTAGCACATTTTTATACTTTGCAAGATATATTAATCTTCAAGAAGATATTTTCAATTTAGACAACAGCTTTAGAATTAATAGTTTGTCTGGGAAAACAGAGTTACCTCACAAATGTAGGTAGCTGATTATTTATAAACATCATAAGAAACAGAGCTATAGTAGTCAAATATAATGAACACAAATGAAATAAAAAAATAGAGGTACTTGACTACAAATTTTCTTACCATCATCAGTCAAAAACAAATGCTATTGGCACAATATCAAAGACACTTAATTTTTATACAGAAAAAAGGATAAAGAGGATTCATATTTTAATTAAAATTTATTTGTATAAGACTTAAATTTTAAATCATACTGAATTATAAATTGCAAAATACATTCATAACCAATTATTTAAATATGAATTTGAGTAATATTATTCAACTCACCCAATAATATTTTTGTCAAGTTCAATATTTGATGGAAAGTTCCTTGGATGAAGGTTAGATACAACTTTCAATATATCAAAACAATCTCTCCAGATTTTGGGAGCCTACAAAAAATAATCAAATGCTATTATATTATGAAAAACTAATATTTTTGCAGTAACAAAAATTATTACTTTGAGAACACATTTTGTAGATTAAGAATATGCCATTTCTGTAGCTGGATTATATCATGCCTTTTTTAATAACTTCCTTTCTAAGTTTTTTTTAAACTGTTTCATTTGGCTTCAATAATTAATTTTTATGAGGAAATTTAAACTACAAACCTAACATAATATTACGGAAATAGGATAAATTCATTCATTTAAGTAACACAAAGTATTTATATTGTTATAGTTTTCAATAGCGGTTATAAGAAAATATAAAAAACCTTAATAATTAGTCAATTTAATAAAAAATAACTATTAAGACATCACTAGTTTACCATTATATATTTGTTTAAAAGTAGAAACAATAAAACATAGAGTAGCAAAAGTATTAAGTAGACTGTTTTCAAAAACCAAAATTTCAATACAAGTATTCAGAATTTATATGTTTATGCACTTATTACCAGAAATTATATAATAATAGAGTTTTAAAGATGTATATAATAAAGGGAAGCAAGGCAAACATAAAAAATTCATATTATGGTATTACATAGAATACTAATGCTACCTATTATGCAGAAATATATATGCATATATTACAAGTGAGACATATCTTAAATTTTCTTGAATTTGAATTCTAAACAGTTCTTGAATCTTGTGTATCCTTCAAATTAAAAGTGAGGAAATTTTTAATGTAATATTAAAAAATTTTAAATACAGCAAAATTTAAAGTCTGCATTGATAAAAAAAAAAAAAAAAACTTTAGAATACAGATTTAAAAATAATCCTATATTCATTAAGATACAAATGAATTTTGATAAAAAAAAAGTAGTATATAATTTAAGCTTTTGAATACTGAAATTCACTTCCTCAACAGAATTTGACAAAACATTTTTGAGTAACAATTTATTTAACAGAGTGACTGAATGGTTCAACTGGTAAGCAATTGAAATCACGTCTGAGATGCAGCATTTATATACCATTGAATGTGTAGCTAGAAACATGTAGGGCTTATTAGTATAAATAATCAATGTCAAGAGTTATGAAAACAATTCCAGAATTAGTTTCAAGAATTTCCCAGAAAGTACATTTCAGATAAATTTCTAGCAAATTTCGCCAGATGATAAACTAAAATATATCTCCTCTGGCAGCCTTGAATGCAATTATGGCTGCCAGAGGAGATATGGTGATCTAGATACCATTGATATTGGAACAATCATGTTCCTTTTTTAAAATTATACCACTAATGGACATCAGTAACACTTAACTTTCCAAAGTATTGAGTATCAGTTACAATTTTTTGGAAAGGATTAAATGATAAAAAAAAAAAAAAAAAAAAAAAAAAAAAAAAAAAAAAAAAAACGCAAAGATTAGAGCTTTTGAATTTGAAATCTTTCCAAGATTGTGGGATTCGAATAATAATGCTCCATCCCTAATATATATAAAATATGCAATTTTTCTTACTTGCATCATACACAAACATTTGATCAACAACTATAAGAATTCAAGTGCAACATGCAGTACACAATTTTGTATTAGTTATGTAAGTAATGCAGTGAATAAATGATAAATATACTTAAAATTTATAAAATTTCATCCCACTTTTCCTTATAGTAACCTCCAATGGTAATAAATCTTTCTGATTAAAAAAAAAAAACTTTCCTTGAAAACTTCAGTATTTTTTATTTCAGCATACCTCATCCTCTAAGACTGCCAAAGAAGGTTCGCTAGAACACAAAACACAGATTTCCACATCGCGAAGTAAATGGAGCGTTATCAGCCTGTTTGAATTCTGTAAAGAAACAATTCACAACTGCATAAATGGACAATTTAAAATTATTACTGAAATGTTTCTGTATATATGAATATATAGAGAGGAAGAGAGAGATCATAGATTCTACTATTTAACCTTTGTTGTAAATACCTGAGGTGAGGATGTGGGTAAATATATAATAATTTCACGTGATAAAACTTTTGGTAAAGAATTCACATAAGAGCAAATCAGTATCTGCTCTTGACTGGTTAATGTCCACCATTCTTTGGAAGCCACAATTACTTTTCCTTTGATGAGTAAGCATCCATATAAACTATCAGCTACATCAAGAAACTGGCACATGCGTTCCTGTAAACATATTACGCTCCATTAGCACAGTACCATAATTTATTTCAAGCAGAAGAAATTAAATGTGTATGAGCAAGAATATTTATTTCTATTTTAAAAATTATACAGTACAAAGTTTTTAATCTGGACGTTCATAATCCAAAATGATCTTTAATCCAGACCTCAAAGCTACAAATTTTCTGCGCATGCGTAGCGGTTACGTTTTCGCATGCGCATAATATGTTTACGCATGTGCATTTGATGTATAACGGCCGGTATAAGCTATGCTAAAATTATCTAATTATCTATTTCAGTTAATGTTGCAGATTGTGTTGTTCTTTAATCTTCTAATTGGTTCCGGCTTATTATTTTTTGCAGACTGTTAGAGCAATTTTATAAAAGTAAGCTTGAACTTTCGATTATGTCAAAAAAAGTTTCCGATTCTGGAGCTGCCAAAGGATCTACAAAGCGAAGGCATGTTTCGATGTCCATCAAACAAAAAGTGGAACTGCTGCAAAAAATAGATAAAGACATGAAGAATATGACAGAGAGGTTAGTGAAAACGAAAAAATTTCGATTGAAAAGTTAGTTGGTATTCTCGGCACAGCAATTACAGGACTTGAACAGCAGAACTTTGTAACTGAACAAGAAGTTATGTCTGTTTATAGCATTAAAGAGAAAGTATTAGCACATAAAACGAAGCAACTTACAACTTACATTGAAAGAAATGTTTAAAAAAGTAAACAAATAAATATTAAGCTTTTTTTGTAAATTTTGATAATCTTGATTTTTATAATTTTGATTTGATTTGATCATAATTGCTCTTTATTTCATAAATTACGTTTCAAATTTTTAATTTTATAATTTTTGCATGCCATCTTACCAGATTTAAATTGATGATCTATAAACCGGAAAAACCCCAAATCCGGAATCGCCGAAGTCCCGACAAGTCCGGATTAAAGACTTAGTACTGTATTTTTATTGCATAGGCTAAACACATTCTGTCTGAAATTTTAGTTTCTCTCTGTTTGTATGCATTAGTATATTCCATGTTTTGACATTCAAAAAGAGAAAAAAAAAAAATGCATCACACCAGGAAAGATATTTTATATATTCTTCATTTTAGTTAAATATTGTAAAATGCTATGGTAAATTAGTTTTTTGTTTCTAAAGTAAAAGCAAAATTTTCAGACTTTTTTTAATCATGTAAGCATGCATTTATTTATGAAACAATGATAAAATCTAATGGATAATTAGATATTATGTAAAGTATGCCCCTGTCGTATATCCATTGTGAGGTGGGATCTAGATGCATTTAATATGGAATTGATATAAACATTTTAATATACATATGTATGAATAAGACAAATCCTTTATTATAACAAAACCAAAACAAATATAATTTACATATAGTTAGCAACATAATATTGTGTTGGCATACAGTGTGTGACATTTATTATTATGACATTTTCTTCTTATTCTATAATCTCAATTTTGTGTCACATGAGAAAGAGGCGAAAAAGCGCACTGTTTGGCTTGAGTGCACATGTGTGGTGTTTGTCAAATTATCACATCTCCCCTCTAAAAGATCTGATTGTGTCTTTCAATGAACTGTCAAATCCACATATAAACATTTATTGAAACAAAAACAACAACAAAAAAAAAAAAAAAAAAAAAAAAAAAAAAAATCGCTATTCTTACTATTTTAAATTAAAGTTATTTCAACATAAATTCAATAATTATAACCTTTTAAAAGTTGTAACATTCAATTATTTTTTCCTTAAACTTCAATCTTTATCATTATCATAAAACAGTTAACAATCAATAGCAGTTATTAAGTAACAGCTATTTTATAAACAAAACAACAGAAATCAAGTATTAACATTAAACCTTATACCTTACCATGGCCAAATATTAAACATATTACATAACATTCGAAAAATTCAAAATTCTAGCAATTCAGATCTAAAAATAATGTTTAAATGAAATAGCCAAAATGTTCATAATGTTTCAAAAGTTACTGACTTTCAGTCATGTTTCCAGTGAAAGGCAGTTAATCGAAATAATGAATCTGCATTAATATGATCTTTTCTTTTCCAGTATCTAATCACTGCATGAAATCATTGTACCAGTATTGTAAATGAGAATTTCGTGAGCAACATTCAGTGAAAATTTGAGATGATTGTGGTTACTAATGATGGTGATAAGTTTCAAATTTCTGCAGGACAAAGATAATGACAAATGCTTCTTTTCTAACAGCAGCATGACTTCTCTGCGTTTTGGTCAACTCTTTGTTAATAGAGGCTATTGGATATTCTACATTGTTTTCGTTTTGCTGAGCCAAACAAGCTCTTATGGCATTCAATTGAATGAACACTTCACTGAGTTCTTTCAGTCAGGCGATTTCCATCGAAGCTCTTCTTCTTGTCAATGCTGTTGAAGGTTGTGCTATTGCAGAAAATTTGGGTATGTAAGATCTATAATATGATAAGTATGAGGAACTTCTAAATTCTGCATGGCTTCAAACTTTTCTGGGTCAGGCTCATGTGAATCAGAACTAACTATGTGTCCTAGAAATTTGATTTTATGTTTGCAAAGTCACTTTTTTAAAAATCAACAGAGAAATTTACTTCCTCTAGTGTACTTAAGGCTTCATTAAGATGTTTCAGATGTGCATTCCAGTCATTAGAAAACATAATCACAGCTTCAATATAAGACTCAGTATAGTCTTTATGTTTGGCAAGAAGTTTTTTTATAATCCTCTGAAAAGTTGTAGTAGTGTTTCTTAATCCAAAGGGTAAAACTGCAAATGCACATTGTCCTCGGTGTGTCACAAATGAAGTCAAGTGCTGGCACTCAGTATTTAGTCGTATAAGATAGTATCCTTTAAGAAGATCAATCAAAGTGATGTATTTAGACTTTGACACTTGGCAAATTAGGTCCATGGCGTTTTTCATTTGAAAAGTACCAATTTCAGCTTGTGAGTTCAGGTATCGGTAGTCCACACATAGCCTTACAGTTCCATCTTTTTTTGACACACAAACTACTGAATACGCATATTCACTTATTAGAACTTTGGATATCTGGTAAAGCTTCTGCTTCTTTAGTATACTTTCAGGCTTCAGTTTGATGTTGTGTTCTCTAATCTCGGCAATTTTTGGAATACCAGATTTTAGACTAGCATGCTTTCTTAACATTTACATGAGTTCTTTTCTCTTACGTAGTTTGAGGCATGGAAGGCCAAACTCATCATTGAAATAATGTTCTTCTGCATTCAGTGGTACAATTCTTGGAATGTTCTCCACTTCTCTGAAATCAGTGTCTGTACTTTATACCACATCAACATTAGTCACAGTAGTGTTGACTTCTTGTATCTTGTGTGAACATGCTTCAAAATTTCATCAGGCTATGTAACATCACTATGTAACTATAATTAGTATGCTTTCTGATGACCGTAGCGGGTTCAGTCCATTTGGCATAAACTTTGCTTTCACTATTGAAGATTAAGACTATAACTCTGTCACCTTCCTCAAATTCTTTATGACAAGTTTTCTGGTTATGGTAAAATGCATAAGCTTGTTGTTTTCCAACAGCTGTAAGTTCTCTGTATTCAGCAGCTTTTACTAACTTCATTTTCAAATCATTCAGATAATTAGCCACTGAGCTTAGTAGTCCATGATGAATATGGTTTCAGCAGCCCGTGACATTTTCAAGATAAAGTAATGGCTATTAGGACGTCTTCCATACAGCATCTGGAACAGACTAACACCAGTCACAGCATTAGGGTCTTCTCAGCAGGTCCAAAATAGGTATGGTACCAATTTCTTCCAATCTTGTGACTATTTTATGATGGTATGATGCATCATTCCCTTTGAAACAGCATTAAATCTTTTTAAAAGGTCGTCAGAGCTTGGGATGGTAAGGAGTAGAGAACCTTGATCCTTTTAAAAAACTCCTGAGTCAACGAAGCAGTAATGTTAGCTCCTTGAACTGTTGCAACAATCTGATAGATTCCAGTGAATGTAAAGATCTGCAACAACACATTATATGTTGATCTTGCATTAAGATTCTTCAATGGTACTGATTCTGGCCATATTGTACATTGGTCAACAGCACACAAAACATATTTATAAGCTCGACAGCTTGGTACCACAAGTCCAAGGATATCTACATTAATTCCCTAGAATGGTTCATTAGGACATGTCACTGGCGTAATAGAAACTTCATCAGAAGGACACTTTTCAGCTTGAAGTTGACAAAAGAAGAGCTATTACAATATTCATTCCCGTCTTTCTTGATTTCAGGCCAATAGAAGGAATACTTTAATCGTTCATCAGTCTTCTTGGTTTGCAGGTGACCTCTCATTACGATATAAAAATTTAAGTCCAAAATTTGTTTTATTCTTTCTTTAGGAACAACTAACTGGTGAACTCTTTCTCCTAAAGTCTTATCTTTATGATACAAAAAAATTATCAATAATAATAAAATTATTACTTTCATTCTTAGCATCTTGCCACCATGATTGTAAAGATGGATCATTCATTTGTTGAGTCCAAAACAGCTCTGAATCCGAAACACAATGATCTTGTCTTGTGCTACCTTTAGAATCATCTTTACCTGTCTCTTCATGTAGCAGAGCACAACATTCTATTATTTTCTTAAGAGTTTCATTACTTTGTCCATTAATAGGTTTTTCTTTATCATATTTAAACATTTCGTAAAAATTTTCAGTTTCATAAAAAGGCATTCTAACCAAGCTATCACTAGTAATGCTTACATTTTTGCATTCAAAACTAAATTTTTATTAAGCATCTCCATTTCACTCATTAAAAGCCCTTTATGGCAAAACTAATTCACTACAAAACTTATCAACAATCGCATGCTATAAAAATAGCTGATTTAAATTTAACATCTTTAGAATGCTTTGATAGAGGTAAGTTAAAGAGAAAAGCCTTTCAAGATTGTTCGAAAGCTGACATGAGAATAACAATTCCATGCGGCATACATTATCTTTCTGGCCCAATATCAGCCTCAATGACAATTAATTGTATGCCTGTTATCAGCTACTGCATTAATTAATTTACCATCACAAATAAGTTTAATGGTTGGCAAGTCATCGAACTTCTAGCATTTTGATTTACACTATTTAGAAAAAAAAATTTGCAGTTATAGCATCAGGACTATTCTTAATTTCTTTCTTATTCAACTTTTTTTTTATCTTTGCACAACAATATGTATACTTGGAGATACATTTTAAACATTTTGATTGAGAAGTTCAATTTTTTGCTCTGCAGTTTCTTTTGAAACAAAGAAAGCACCAATTAGAATCTTTTAAACTCTTTTTTCTTTCTTCCAATGACATAACACATTTTTTTTAAATGTAGCCTTCACTACCAAAAAAATAAACAAAAATAGTTTGAGTAGCTACAATTTTGTTTACAATATAGGAATGACTGGTGCTACTAGTTGAGTTGCCATTGAAAGAATTATGAATGTGGAAACTGTTTCATTTTCCATTAGGGGGAATAAAATGCTTTTCAGGGAAATTCACATAATGTTTTAAATAAGATAAATTTAATGATGTTCAGTTGCAACTTCCAATTTTTTGTTTTAGATATTAGATTATTATATATTGATTTAGATATCAGATATTTAGATTTCTGTCTATGAGGGTTTCAACATTAAAATTTTCTTCATCTGCTTTTTGATGAGCAAACTCAAACATAACATCCCAAAGAATTTCATTAATAAAGGATAAAGTAAACTTCTGTATGATTCAGTTTTGATTCCTAATGAACTTAGCAACCTTACTTGTATGTTACAGGTATCAAAATTTTTTCACCTAACGCTTTCAAACAAACTGCTTTTACTTTTAAATTTCTAATCATTCTTCTATAGCTTCAATATTGCAAGAAGAAATTAAAGATTCAATAGAACTTGTTACTTTAGTTATGGCTGAATGAATAACTTTTCGTTCTTTTTTAAGTCTCGTGAATTCTGCCTCAGCCATTTATGTTATTTTAAACTTCAATTTCCAACAAAGTAAATTGAACAAAATACTTCTCACATTTTTTGATGAAACACTTATACTTCCAAAGGGGATATTCATAATCCTATTCATGATCCATTATAAATATATCCTTCAGCTTAACATTCTGAAGAGGAGCAGGGATTTTCCTTAAATGAAAGTTCTTACACAGATATGTTTCAGGAGTTTGGAAGGAAAAAATTTCAGGATCAATCCAAGCAAAGGAGTTAAAACTCTACTGAATTATTACTGTTATAAGGATAATATATTTCTTTGACATAGATGCAATGAGTTAATATTGTTTAAGCATGTTGGTTAATATACATGATAAACGGAACAGAATTACAATAGAAAAACTGACATGATGAAAAATAAATAAAATGAAAAATAGGCTTGACCAATCTTGAAGGTTTAATTTACCTCCTTCTTTGGCTAACAAATAACTGCAAATAAAGCAGAAAAATATTAATTATATCTATTTAAGTACACTAAGAACAATGTATGTTTAAGATCGTGAATGCAGGCTTATCTAATTTTCATTTATTATGCTAATTTTTTGCTGTAATTTACTTGCTTTTGCATTTGATTTATTTGATAGCACATGACAGGCATAATTTTATATGTGCAATACAGAGGTCACTCTGAAATTTTTGAGATACATGCAGTTGATAAGTAGCAGAAAAAAATGAATGATTAGATTTGAAAATATGAACTATTTTAGATGAGCAGACAATTTTTTATTGGCCAACTGCAAATAATTTCGAGGAGAATAAATTTCAGGGAGAAGGAAAAATGGAATTGACGTGAGAACATTATCACACTATGATTTTAAAGTGGGATTAAATCAAGAAGAATGCGTTCAATGAGTACATTTAGCATTTAAAAATGAAGGTCCATCTTGTGCTATTGTATTCAGACTGTTTACAGAGTTTCACAGAGGTCACAGTTCTCTTCCGAATGAAGAACACACAGAAAGGCCATTGTCAAATATAATCCCGGATAATGTATCTGCCATACAGAAAACATTAATTGATAATAATTGCTGCATCTACCAAATGATACAGAAGGAACTTAACATTCGATTTGCTGCCATATATAACATTATTACCGAAGAACTGCACATGAGAAAACTAGTTTGCCATTGGGTTCCCCAAAACTTAACTGAGCACCAAAAAAGAGGAGTGTGTCAGAATCCGTAAATAAACCCTTGAATTACTTAAAGATAGTGGGCACCACATTATTTCTAAAATCGTAACTGTGTGATGAAACATACATATGATTTTTTTATGTTCCAACATGTCAAGAAAGTAAAATATAGATCTTTGAAGATGATCCCATGCCTATAACGGTGAAAAGACGATGTGACATGAAAAAACATAATGTATGCTATTATCATCAGAAGTACAGGACTGGAGAAAGCCATCAAGTTAGAAGGACAGACAACAGTCACAGCTAACTGGTATACTAAGTGTCTTCCACTAAGTGTCTGGAAACTAAGTGTGAACACTAAGTGTCTTCCAGAAATTCTTCAAGAAGTGAATGTTAGAGGACTCATGCTCCACCATGACAGTGCATCTTCTCATCCAGCAAGATTGACAGTTGAGTTTCTTGAAGAAAAACACATCAGAGTGACAGAACATTCACCCTATTCACCCGACCTAGCTAAGTGACTTATTTGGTTATTTTTTAATTTAAAAAAGAATTTACATTGATATCGCTTTCATTTCAAAGATGAGAATGATGAGGCTATAAATGTATTTTCAGGCATTTAATCTTTGGAAAATTCGACTACAGAAGTGCATTGATGCTGGAGGAGACTACTTTAAACACTCCTCTAAATTTTATAACTTTAAAAATCTATGTGTATCTCAAAAATTTCAGAGTGAACCTTGTGTTAATATTAACACAGATCTTCTTGTAAAAATATTAGTTTCATTATACTAACCTAATTAATCTAATCTAGCTGTATTACACAATATTTTTTTTTTCTTAAAAAAAAAGTTTTAGGTTGAAATTTCTTACTTGCAAAATGCGAGTGTGGGAAGCCAACAGACAGTCTAGTTTACCAGTAAGATCTCCTATGGTAAATTTCTCTTTGTCTATTTGACTAAGCAGGTAATCAATCAATGGATGGCAGACCTATAATACTGAATTATTAGTGTATATTTATTAAAAATAACTACATATATATGTTCCTGCCAATAACTAATTTTTTGACATAAATATATGTATAAACATATATATATATATATATATATACAGGGTGTTTCATAGATCATGGGACAAACTTGGAGGGGTGGTGCAGTGTACTAAAAACATGCATTTTTTTATAGGAATGTAAGGTCTAAAATGACGGATTAAGGCAGGAACGCAAAAAAAACGACACAAGAGGAAAATGTGTTTATGTACAAAATCAACACAAGTGCTTCTTTGTAGCAATACAGTATTCACAATAAATGTTCAAAATTGCAACCACCAGCAGTAATACATGCTTGGTAACCTCACAGAAGGGACTGCCAAACATTCTGAAAAACGACAGGCATTTCGCGCACACTTCCAGCCTCAATGGATAGTCGTGCAATGAGGTCCTACAGTGAGTTAATGGGAGTCTCATAAATGATGCTCTTCAGATGACCCCATAAAAAAGTCCAAGCTAGATAAATCTGGCAAACAGGGTGGCCATCAAACGGATCCCCACCACAGCCAATCCATCCAAGTAATTGAGGACCAGCACGTGGTTATGGGCTGGTGCACCATCATTCTGGAACCACATGCGATACGAAAGACAGCCGGAACATTCTGCAGCAATTCCGGTAGCACTTTTTGCAGAAAATATGATAACATAAGCCATTTGTATGTGCAGGTAAGAGGTATGGGCCTATGAGGTACTCGTTAACAATACCTGGCCACACATTCAAGGTGAAGTGGGTTTGGAATGCATATGGATGCGAGTTGTGTGGATTATGAGTTGCCCACACGTGCACGTTGTGGGTATTGAAGATACAATCCTGTGAGAAAGTTGCCTCGTCCGTGAATAGCACATCCGATGTGAAATCTGCCTGCGCTGCACACTGCTGCAAGAACCGATGACAGAAATGAACTCGAAGAGGGTAACTATCTGCAAATTTGGACTATCTACAAATGGTATGAGTGTAAACCATTTTCATGCAATACTCTCCAAACGGTGGAAAGACTCAGCTGCAGATGACGTGCAATAGCTCTTGTATTTGTCTGAGGTGATTCATGCACAATGTTCAAGATGGATTCTTGAATGTGAGGTTGTCGTGCACTTCTTCTTCTACTCCTAGTGTCAGAGGTGGCTTCAAACGAGCCGTTTTCATGCAGAGATCGATGCAACCTCTCAAACAATGTGTGCTTCGGCATATGCCTGTTCAGAAACCGTTCCTGGTACAACTGTAGCGCTGCTCTGCCGCTCCCATTAGCAGCACCATACATGAGATGTATGTCAGCTTTTTCTATGTGCGTAAACTCACCCATCACGCTCGACATCAGAGTTGCAAATGATCCTCTGATGCATCAGATCGTGGTTTGCCCGGCTCACTACCGCTCTCTATTGCTGCACTGACAGCCAATCACAGCTGTAGTTCCTATTACTGTTAGTGTTCCGTTTTTTGAACATTTATTGTGAATACTGTATTGCTGCAAAGAAGCACTTTGTGTTGATTTTGTACATAAACACATTTTCCTCTCGTGGTTTTTTTTTTTTTTTTTCGTTCCTGCCTTAACCGTCACTTTAGACCCTACATTCCTATACAAAAAATGCATGTTTTAGTACGCTCAACTAACCCTCCAAGTTTGTCCCATGATCTATGAAACACCCGTATATACATACATATATATATATATAATTCATAATAACTTATACAGTCAAAAGTCGTTAATCCAGACTCGTTGGGACTTTGGCGATTCCGGATTATAGATCATCAGTTTAAATCTCGTAAGATGGCATGCAGAAATTCTAAAATTAAAAATATGAAACCGTAATTTATGAAATAAAGAACAATTATGATCTAAAGGGTATCAAAATTTACAAAAAAAAAAAAAAAAAAAAAAAAAAAAAAAAAGCTTAATATTTATTTGTTTACTTTATTAAACATTTCTTTCAATGTAAGTCGTTTAAGTTGCTTCGTTTTATGTGATAATACTTTCTCTTTAATTCTATAAACAGACATAATTTCTTGTTTAATTACAAAGTTCCGCTGTTCAAGTCCCGTTAATTGCTGTGCCGAGAATACCGACTAACTTGTCAATCGAAATTTTTTCGTTTTCACTAACCTCTCTGTCACATTCTTCATGTCTTTATCCATTTTTTGCAGCAATTCCACTTTTTGTTTGTTGGACATCGAAACATACTTTCGTTTTGTAGATCCTTTGGGAGTTCCAGCATCAGAAATTCTATTTGACATAATTGAAAGTTCAAGTTTACTTTTATAAAATTGCTCTTAGAGTCTGCAAAAAATAATAAGCGGGATCCAATTCGAAGATTAAGGAACAACGCAATCATTAACATTAACTGAAATAGATAATTAGATAATTTTAGCTTACACCGTCCGTTATACATTAAACGCGCAAGCGAAAACATATTCTGCACTTGCGCACACGCATATGCGCAGTAGTCAAGGTCTTATGCGCACGCGTAAACGCCTGTGCGCATGTGCCAACGCAGCGCATGCGCAGAAAGTTTTTAGCTTTGAGGTCCGGATTATAGATCATTCCGGATTATGGGTGTCCGAATTAACGACTTTTGACTGTAATAAGAAAACTTTCCATGTACCATCTCCAAGGAACAAAAATTCAATTTAAAACCCTGAATGAAAAAAATTTTTTTAATCAAGTGCTCTAAACATTAATTTCAATCTGCTAAGAAAAATTTGTAATTGCAAAAACATCAAAACCAAAAGTAAATTTAAAGTATTGAAAAGTAGCTATTGTCATTGATAGCAGATTAATTGATGTATCAAGGGGATAAACCAATCTACCATCAATTAAGAACAACAAAATTAAGAGAGTGTTTCCTCTTACTTCCAAGTAAGCATCTTTTTTTCATTCATGGTTTTAAATTGAATTTGTGTTCCTTGGAGATGGTACATGGAAAGTTTTTTTATTATAAAGTTATATGATTAGTTATTAGTTTATTACTTTGCAGCTTTAATTGCAGCGCAAGTCATAGACTTTTAAATTTACTTATTAATTACTTTATTTTGAATTTATATATGTATATATATAATTACAAAACAATTCTTTTGAAAACAAAATTTAAACAAGCCTAATATTTTCACACATTAAGTTGCAGAAAAATTATCATTAAAGACATAAAGTAAGAAATGTGGTGTGTGTGGCAAAAGATTCCATTTGCGTCTGTACAGAGTCCAGTCGGTGAATGCAGACACATGTGGTTTTGCATTATCTTGATGGAACATCCTCTTTTTTATGCCAGAACTCAGTTCAATGTTTCCCCTTGTTAGCAGTGTCAACACGGACTAGCATCTTGCTGCACACCTTACTGTCGAGGGTTTTATCTTTTTCCAGATACTCTTCGTGGAAAATACCTCAGCAATCTCACCAGATACAAAGCGTGACCTTTTTGTTAATCAAATTGTCATTTGCGAAGCTGTCAATGGGCTCACTGGGTGCAGACCAACCCTCCTTTTTGGCCTATGTTGTTGAAGTAAATCCACTTTTTATCACAAGTGACAATCCAGTCCAGAATTTTGTCCTTCCGTTGATATTTGTGCAGATTAGAGCAGGTCCGAACATGTGTGTCCTTGTCTGCTTGAGTCAGCTTATGAGGCCCCCAGCGATTGAACTTGTATGTCAAATTTATGAGATGCACAGTGTGACTAATGGACACAGTACTAATGTTTTACTCCTTAGCAAGCTCTCGTATGGTTGCATACCGATCTTCTTCCACAAGTTCTCAAAGGCAAACCTTATCAACAATCAGTAGGCCTGTTCTGCTTATTGAATGTCATAGTCTAAATTTTTGAACTTTCAGTACCAAACCTTCACAATGTCATATGATACAACATTAGTCTCTAGACATGATTTGATGACATTCTGTAGCTGACTTTTTGCAACAGAACTGGAAGTAAATGATGGTTCTAATCTGGTAGCATGGTAGTTCCATTTCAGACACCTTGTACTTTTAAATGATAACAATATTTTTTTACAAATTTCATACCACAGTGTTGTAAAGCAAATCTCTTTGTTTAAAATGCCAAAAATCATTTGACAAAATATGATTGACCATGCAAATGCGAACTGTTTGCACAGATGATATTTGCAGTGGTGGGAAACTTTTGTTAAAACGCGATATGGTATATACAAGACATAAAATATGAAAGTGAACTACTAACTTTAATTTGACAATAATCCTTTTTACTTTCCATTTATATATATATATTTAAGGTGTGTGTGTGCATTTATATATATATATATATTGTTTCATAAGAAGAAATTGATTAATGAAATAAATTTAATTTAAATTTAAAAATAAATTTAATTAAATAATTGCCAAACTGGCAATTCTAGTCAGGCCAAATATTCCTGTGAACAGAAGGGATTATGAACCAATGCCGATACTCAAAGAACGTATTCCTATGAAGCATTTTAGCTAATTCAAATTTTGAGTGAAAAGCAATTTCTGTAGGGAATTCTGAAAAAACTCGAATAACCATCCCCCAACACCCCCATGTTTATGCATTTGAGTTCTATATTATTTGTAAAAATTAAACATTGGAAATTGTCATTATGAAATAGAATTCAAAGTATAAAGTTGAAATAAACATAGAAGATTACAAAATAAGATATATATATATATTATACATACACACACACCTATATATATACATAGAGGCATAAAATATGAAAGTGAACTATTAACTTTAATTTGACAATAATCCTTTTTATTTACCATTTATGTACACTGAAGTGACAAAAGTCATGGGATACCTCCTAATATTTTGTCGGTCCTCCTTTTGCCCGGCAAAGTGCAGCAACTCAACATGGCATGGACTCAAACAAGTCCCCCTGCAGGAATATTAAGCCATGCTGCCTCTATAGACGTCCATAATCGTGAAAGTGTTGACGGTGCCGGGTTTTGGGCACGAACTGACCTC